TCTCTGTTCCAGTGTTTATTTGTAATCGAACAGCGCTTATGTACATACATCTGTGTATTTGGTTTTTTGTTGTTTATTGAAATTGTATATTTTATTGATATTTTTCTTCTCGATGTAGTAACAAATAAGATAGAAGAATATTATTATTTTTTTGTTCGCCATTGTCTACAACAATTTTATTGGATACTTGAAATCAATTTTCGATATACTTAACTTATAGAAAAATGACAAGATTTATAGAGCTCATACTCATAGAGTTTGTTTCAAGATAATAGCTGAAAATTTTTTGAATCATTTTTACATGACAAGATAGGACAAACTGAAATTTCTTGTTTGATCAAGATTCTATTGGTAAAGAATTTTGAATAAATGTAATTAGGGATGTGTAGTTTTAGTTTACTGACTACCGACTTACGAGAAAATCTCTCCGAATATCGAATCGTTTTTCGACTGAGACGATGTTTATTTGATGAGTACTAGAGAGTAATAAAGGAGTTTAGAATGTTTTGGCTTTTCATTCTTGAGATTAGTTGATTGTACAAGTTTTAGCTTTTCCAGTATTTCCTTTCTGGAAATGTAAATATAAAAACAATATTTGTTTTTACACATGAGGAAATTTCGAATATTGAATATCTCAGGATAGAAGATACTAGAAAACTTACAACTTGTCCTATAAACTAATCTCATTGAAAGCTTTGCTTGTGCACAGTTTGTAGTCGAAAGTCGATTTTTCATGTCATTTGATGAGGATCACAACTTTTTGTTGAAAATTCTGCTTAGAGAATGAAGGCTAGAAAAAGCAAACAATTCTACACTTTTTTATTACTTATTAATACTCATCAAACAAACATCGTCTCCGTCGAAAAATTATCTGATATCTAGAGAGTTTCCCTTGTCAATGTAGTTAATATAATCTGGCATGACTGTTCAGTAAAGCATTGAAACATACTGCTACAAAAAGGATATATTTGGATAGCGTTTGTGTTCGAATGTTGCAGCAAACACGGGTGTTAGTGTCCTAGTAAGTTCCGTGTTGGAGGCTTACTGTTCAATGTTTACACTAACAATGAACATTCTCGAATGCAATTTGAAGAGGTTAATTCTATTTAAAAACTTGCTTCATTTCCTATATGATAATAATTAATCGAATATTTTAAACCAAAGAAGAAGACACTTTTGATCACCAACTTTTTTCAGGATTCATTCAACATTATTATTTGTCAATCAAGTATAGGTGCTATTCTAGATTGACAACAACCGCACCTTCATTCTATAGTGTTTTCCACTATCAATCAAACCAATTACATAGTTAAGGATATCGTTGGCCTGGATTAAAACTAAAGTATGATGCTTCTCCAGCTCAGCGACACCATGTCACTCATACTCTTTGATATGCTCTACCAGTTTGATCAATTAATGTATAGGATGTCGTCGACCTGAAGAAGAATTATACTTTTAAATGTATATGTAGTTGTTCTACAGATAGATGTACTCCATTCACTATTTGCTTTGATTAATCAGTTTGATCCCCGAAAATAAAGAGCTGAATGTAGATTGTGTACCTTTCACTAGAAGTATTTTACATTGATCTTATTCGATGAATTTAGTAGCATGTAGTTTTTTATGTGTCATAACTTAATTAGTGAAATTACCTCTAATCATTAAATTTAGTAGAACAGTTGACATGAACATTTCGAAAAATTTTCGGACATTAACTTCCAATAAAACGATTGTATGTCAAGTATCACGACTGTTATTTCGATATAGTCTAAATATATTTGAACTTAAATAGTTATTTATGTTCATAGTTTATCATTGAAATTATTTTTTTTTAACAAAAAAAGTATTCATTTTGTTTATTCATTATAATGACAAGGATCCTATTTCAACATTTAATTCTTATATGAAATTTGATCTTAGCTAATGTTTATCAATCATTCGTTTAACGAGAGTAATTCAATCTAAAGAATGATAATTTGTTTTTTTTCCTTTGCTTTTATAAGTATACATTCGATTCTTCAATTTTTTTTTCATTTTAAAATAAAATTCTACAATGTATAGATTCGTTCGTTTTATAACGTTGTTCATTTTAATTAGTTTACTTAATAATACTGATAATTTGTTATTTAAATCTCGATTATCAACAATTAAAATTGGTTCATTTAATTTACGTCGATATTCTTTAGCTAAAGCTACATCAACAAATGCAGTTAATACGCATATATCAAAAATTCTTCAACGATATGATCTTATTTTTCTTCAGGAAATAATTGATACATCAAATGATAATCAAGTTGTTAATCTTCTTTTAAATCATATTGATAAAAAATCAAAAATCAAAAAATATGCTGCTATTATATCACCACCACTTGGTTCAACATCATATAAAGAACGTTTAGTTTATTTATATAAAAAAAAATCTTCAAAAATTAAAATTCTTTCATCTTATGTTTATAATGGATCAGTTAGTAAAATGTTTGAACGTCAACCATTTATTCTTCATATAGAATTATCATCATTTGGAAAAATCATATTTATTGGTACTCATCTTAAACCAGATAGTGTTTATGATGAATTTCGTCATTTACGTACGGTTATTGATCAATTAAAAGAAAAATCTTCAATAATATTATTAGGTGATTTTAATGCTGATTGTTCATATTTAAATAATGTTAAAAAGAAAGAAATGAGAAATACATATTTTAGTGAATTTCAATGGTTAATTGATGATCGAACTGAAACAAATTTACTTGAATCATGTTCATATGATAGAATAATAGTTTCATCAGGTATTAATCAATGGAAAAAAGTCAATTGGAAACCAAAGACTAATGGAACATTTCAATTTGATAAAAAATTTAAATTAACTAAAAAATTAGCTTTACAAATTAGTGATCATTATCCAGTAGAAGTTGATATTTATTAAAACAATAATAACATTTCAATATTTTCATTAGATTCTATTTTAACAAAAGAAAGAACACAAACATTTTCATTAATAAATATAATTATTCGTATTGAAGAAATCATAACCTACTGTGCACTTCCGCATCGTTGTTTTCTTTTCAAAATCTTCAAATTAGTTTGTATTTTTCTCTAAAAATTATATTATTGCAAATACTGTACATAACACCCGTTTTAAGGATATGGTATGCTTATATTTTATTCTAGTTATTGAAACGAAATCAGATGAAAAGAAATCAATATAATTGATAACATCAACAACATCAATCCTTTCAAGATATTTACAAATTGCGGAAAAACTGTAAATAATGCCTAAAATTTCAAATACTTGCTGTAATTGAATACGAGTTCCTATTGAATAGAGTTCATGTTGGATAAGCGTATAGTTGTGTTTCATAGTTTGTGGTGAGATAAATAAGATGATCTTATTAGATATGAACTTATTTTATATAATATAAGAATAATAATGAAACTATTTGAATTTTATCAAAACTATTCGTCCGAGTTCTGAGAAAAAGTATTCACTCAATATAAAAATCAGAATAGTGGTCTGAAAGTGAATCTTTTAGCAGTGTCTACTAATCAGGTATGGTTTTTCAATTATCTTTTAGACGAGTTGTTTTGATTGAATTTTGTAGAGAATTATTTGGACTATCTTTTGAAGAAAAAAACGAATATTTAAATCAAAGCTCCGAACACTGACGAGGGAACATATCCAACTTTCGAACGTCCTTTGAGTCTATATTTTAATTATGAGGAGAACTCAGTGAGACTAAGAAAAATCTAAAAGGATTCGAGTCTATACCGTGCCTAGACGGATAACTTGTTTCCACATAAGTATAAGAAAATGGTATTTTTTTTTCTATTTTTTTTCTTTATTCCAATAAATTGACATCTGCAATAGTTAGCATACAATTTTCATTTGATATATGAGGTAGAGTCATTTTTATTTAAGAAGGTCTAATCCATTGATGGAATCGACATCAGTTATTGACCAGTCTGGCCTGATCAATCTCAAGATAATGTTTATTTAAGTTTATCATGTAGCGTAAAAGTTAATGCAAGCTTTTTCTTTCTTTTTTTTCTTGTACATAGTGACAGTAAGAAAAGCTAACTGATGGATTACTATTCTTTGATGTATCACCGAGTATATCTCTACAATCAAATGTAGCATCGGTCTTCATTGTATTTGATGAGCAAGATTTAAGATTTTGATTTATTATGTAAAACTATTGCTTTAGAGTGTTGGATAGATCAAGAATCAGTCTCCTTAGAACTTCACATGCCTGGAAGAGATGCAATTAAGGCAGCTACGGTAATTTTTGAGACAGATACACAATTTGTCTCCTATACTATTATTAGATTAGCGGTTCCAAAGATATTTTTAAGGAATCCCATTTTGAAGCCGTTCTTTCTTGCTTTTATTAATCTAGAACATAACTAGACCGCCAGTTTCGATTCTGGGCAGTTTTTAGAATCTGCAGGCCTCGATATACAGTTCAGTTGCTGTCGAAAAAAGAGCTTTCGTCACAGATTAAGTTGTCAAACAAATTAGATCTAATTCAGATCCAACAGCTGTTAATAATATCTTATTTCTTTGTTCGATAGAGAATAACAAAATAAAAGATTGATTGATCTCAAGCTGTCTCTTTTTTGTGCTCCTGTATCTAATTGTTGTACTCTTGTGTCTTTTTGTTGCAATATATACTTGAATAAATCACATGATCAAAATAGAAACTTAACGAGGCAGCGAAGAAAAAAATTACAGTCGGGGCGGGGGGAAGTGAAGAAAGCTTTTTTCAGGATGGGGCGGAGAACAAAAAATGTTTCCCGTTTCGGTCTCTCAAAAATGAATCACATTATTGAAGAAAGTTTAAATTAAAGCAGAATATATCGATTTATTTAAGAAATAAATTCAATAAAAACAACATCAATATAATCAATCATTTATGTTTATATATAAAATAGATTTCGAAATCTTTGTCTGAAGAAAAAATAATTATTTATTATATATAGTATATAAAGAGAATAAAATTTTAATTTTCATTTGTATCTTTCATTTGTATTAATTCTTTTGTTGAACTTGCACTTGTTGGTCGAGATTGTTTAGATTTTAATTGTTGTTGTAATTGTTGTGTCCAACTAATCATTGTCTCAACTGGATCTTTTGTTTTTAATGTTGAATTATTTTGTTCATTTATATCAACCGCATAAATACGTTTTTGTTCTAATTCTTTTTGTTTTTGTTTTGCCATAAATACAGAAGCAAACGATCGAATATGTGTATTATCAGGTGTTTTACTTTGATCTAATGAACGATATCCATTAGATTGAGGATTTGATGGAATTTCATTACGTAATTGTTCTGGATTCCATACTGTATTCATAATATGATAATTAATTCCTTTATTTGTTGTACCAGGCATTATAATTTGTTTTATTATTAAATTATTTTCATTTGTAGGTGAATCAGGTAAACGAAAATTATTCATATCAATATCATCATCATCATGATTTAAACAACATTTAAAACGATACCATGGACATTCAATAGAAGCAGATATTTCATCCCATGGTAAATCTGATAATGTTAATAATACTACTAAACAACATACAACACCAAAAACAGTCCAAAATGCAGCTGAACGTTGATTTTTTGTTGGATCAGAATCAGCTATAACAACAAAAATCATTTTAATTGTTTTTTTCTTTTAAATTTTAAAAAAATATACGTGTTTCACAATTTGATCCATGAAAAAATATATCTGAACAATCACATGTATAATTATTATAACCATCAGTACATTGTCCCCCATGTTGACAGGGTGACGATAAACATTCATCAATTTGTTGTTCACACATTGCTCCAGTAAATCCTGCTGCACAAATACAAAGTTCTCGACCAACATTTAAATAACATGTGGCATTATTTTGACATGCATTATTTGTTTCACATTGTTCTATAATTAATTTCAAAGAAGTAAAAATTTTTATAATAAATCAATTCTAACCTTGATATTCACAAATAAAAGGTAATAATTTATTATTGATATCATCACTTATGTCATAAGTAGTCTGAGCTGTATCATAGAAAATTTGATAATATGATCCATTACGATTAAGTATTTGATCACTTGAATTGAAATACCATGTTATTGATTGATTTGACCAACTCCATGATGATGACATAACAACACCATCAATCCAAAATTGACTTTGTATACCCCAAGCTAACATTAACAAAACAAAAAAAAACAATACATAATTTCATAGCGAAAATAAAAAAAACACATCCGTTTATCAAATAAATAAAAACCTTTCATCCAAAAAAATAATGATTTTATTTCAGTAGCCGACTCCAATGCAACCAAATGAGTAATATAACCTGTTTGATTAATTCCTAATGTGTTTGCATCATTAATACAATATTGTCGAGCATCAGACCATGCCATATGTGTACCATTGTACATTTTATAACATCCATTGAATATTAAATTATATGATGATGGACAAACGATTGTTTCACTTATGTTAAATAAAATGCATAATAAATTTCCGATTATGATAAAAGACTAAATAGGCGAAAAACAAAAAGAATTAAAATATCTTTTCTAATTAAATAAATAAACTTACTAAAAACGACATTTTTTTTTCGGTGATATTATTTTACTTACAATAGTTATAAGATAAATTGAATAGAGTAAAAAAGACTAACTGATGATAAGGAAGAATTGGCAGAAGTAATAGTTAGTAGGTGTTCGATGTCCCTTGTTGATGACGTGCGTATGTGTGTACGTCCCAAGACCGAACGGAAATGAATAATAAAATAGATGACAAATTGTGTGTGTGTGTTTTCTTTCTTCTTTTTTTTTCACACTTAAGCAAAAGAAAATGATGGAGAGGAAAAAACGAGTTTTCCCTCTTACTTTTTTCTATTGCCAATTGATTTGATTTACGTGCGTGTTATTAATAACGAGTGACAAAAAAAAGTAGAAAATATTTTCTTAATTTCAATTATATGACATTGAAACAAGTAAGAAAGAAAAAAAAATGAACAAGATAATATAATTCAACTAAGACTCAATTTTGATAGTCATTAGAGATTGTTGACGTAATATTTAACAGCAATATATATTTGATCATTTTACGTAAAAGTATTCTTTTTTTTATGAACATTACACTCTTAAAAATGATATTTAAATATTCAGAATACAAAAATAAGAAAAAGTTAATATTAAAATTAAGATTTAAAGTTTGCAAGTATAATTTAAAGAGAAAAAGTTGAGCACATTTGTATATTTAAGATATTTTCTTAATCGTAATAGCAAGAATGAATCGAACAAACTTATGAGAAACTGAAATGATTTCCTATTAGGAAAATTATTTTTCCAATTTAAAAACGTTTAAAAGAAATGGCTCTGTTGTAAAATCAAGATCTTTGAAAACCAGTTATCTGAATTCGACTGAAAATGTTTTACGAATAAACATTCTTGATAGTACAAACAGTTCTGAGCAAAATGAGACATTCACCAGCATTTCATCATCAAACTGAATTTAATTTACGGAAGGTGTCGAAATCATTTTTTTTCATTGTCTTTTCAAAAGTTTGCTATGTTTTACGTTTCGAGATCTTCCATAAATGGAGCGGGAAGAGTTTGGAAGCATGTCATTTTGCTCAAAAATGTTTGCGCTATCAGATCAACTTATTTGTAAAACATTTCCAATCGAATTCAAAAACACTGGTTTTCAAATTTTTTGGTTTTACAGAGGCGCATCTCTTCGAAAGTTTTAAAAAATACCGAAAATATATTACTTCCAAAGGACAATTCTTTGAGTTACATAAACTTTTTCTGATTCATCCTAGCTATTACTGTTAAGAGTATATTTTCAAAATAGAATGTGTTAAATGCTCTCACTTTACCTCTCTTATTGGTCTTTTAATATTTCAAGAAAAAAAAAATACGTTGAATAATAAAATGAATACTTTATTTAATTTTACCAATTATGGGTAATTTTTCAACTTCAATAATAGCCGAAAGAATTAGCACTAATACTCAGGAGGTTTTCAGTATACAAAATATTTTTCTGTAGAAAATGTTTAAAGTTTCATTTGTAAAACATTCAAATTTGTCACTTATTGCTCATTCGTGTTGCTATTGCTTAACGCAGAATAATCATCCGATATAAGAATGATTATTGGAATGTGTTTATCTAGTTGATTTATGAAATTTGATTAGCGTTATAATGGTAGAGTGAATTTTAAATGTAATAAATGATTAAAATCAGAATGTCTAGATTTCATGAAACTGAGAAAGAATGAAAGAAAAAAAACTAATGTGTTAAATAATATTATGATGATTAAAACAAATAGTTCATAAAAGTTTGCAGGTTTTCTTTTTTTTCTTCGACACATATTTTCTCTTTCTTTCTCGTTTTTTAAGCTATACGTTCTTATCTTCAACGATTTAGTCATTATTCTAATTGTGATTATTGAATTTTCTCATTACAGATGTTTGCACAATAATTGCATATATGCTATAATCGTATACACCAACTCAATCAAAATATGCTCTTGTTGTAGTCGTATGCTTCAGTGAACACTTGTGCCAGTGTGCACTAGCTGCACTGAGTCGATGTTCAATAAACTGGAACTACAGATTTCTCGATAGGAGAAGGAACTTACAAGCCATGAAATGTTTCTTCATGTACAGGATGGATCATAGATACTTTACGATAAAAAGATTTGAATATATCTACTCTGCTCAAAGGTATTGAACTGAGATTTTAATCAATCATAAAAAAAATGTTCAATGTGGTTTTCGTTTATAAGAAAGCAGCAGTGGACGATTGGACCAATCGATCGAGAAATTGTTCACGTTTCAGGAAAAATGGTTCACCCACGGCCTGTCCAAGCGTGACGGAATCACGTTTTTTCCCATGTTTTTGTAATATCTCAATGAAATGAAGTAGTATAAGGCTGAAATATTTACAGTTAATGCAAGTTGAGTTCCTCTACCCATGCTGAAAGTTTCATAGGATTTGAAGTTTTAGTATTGGTTTTATGACTGACACAACGGTCGTGATGGAATCTACACAAAATGGAACTTGACTCTGAGTGCTGTTCAAAGAGTTTAAAAACTTACCTCAACTATAAATGTGGTGATAAGACTCTCTCTACAAAAGTTGTAGCTCAGATGCCTAGCCATATAAAGAAATACAAAAAAATTGCAAAGTGCACATCGTTAGTTTTGTAGACAGAAAAAGGTGTCGTGACGGAATCACGTTTGAGAAATGATAGTGTCTTATCAACGTTTATTTTCTTCAAAAAGTTATGTAAGAAGTATATTATAAATAAAAGACTCGTAATAAATAAAAATCACAAACAAGAGAGTCAGTTTAAAATATTTTTCTAATAGTATAAAATCTCTCGTTTACGAGTATAAAATATAAATAACATAAAAAATTAAAATCGAAAAACGTATTGATCTTCACTTGTTGAGTAACGAGCATATTGGATTACATTTTTGGTGCAAAGCCTGAATGTGGTGTTGTTTTTGAATACCAGATAAATTAACGATGTTGGAAAAGGATTTTTCAAGCATTACTTTTGTAATATCGATTTGTGCTTATCGTACAAATATAGCAGATATAGTTTTTGTTTTTTCTTGGCATATCCTAACAAAATCTTCAGCAGATGAACAGCGCTTCCCGACCATAATTTCCAACCAAACAAGCCTTTTTAAAGTGCCTCCAACACCATCGACAACACCTTTTCCATGTGAAGAGGCAAAGTAACTCCAACTAAAATCAATATCTAATACATCAAGCATAGTTGTTAAATGATTAATAATATAACGATTTTTGAATTGACTAGATGCATTATCAGAAAAAAAAATAATTTGTTTTACATCAAGCATCATACTAGCAATTTCATTGACGAGAATTTCTAAACATGTGATAACAGAATATTTATCATGTTTTGTAGAATTAGAAACTAATCCAAAAGAATGGCCATCATCACCACTACCTCCCATCCAAATATAGGCAGTAAAAATTTATATATATTTTTTGGACCAATATGCAGATTGAATTTGCTCTTGATTATCAAGACCAAAATTCTGTGCATAGTCAACTTGACAAACTACTATTTGATAATCAGCATTATCTTTAATATATTCAAAATAACAACTTTGTTTTCTTTTAATATATACATGAGAAAGGTATTGTGGTGCTTTGAGTTTTAATTGTTTTACACATTTTGAAACAGGACCTTGAACAACAAAAATGAAATCAAGAAAAAACATAAGTTCTTTTAATAGAACCGTTCGCAGTACAAAAATAAGTTTTTAACCCTTTGAGTACCAAATTATTTCTGCTGGATTCAATTCAAGAAGACTGTTAGATTAGCTCATTTTAGACAGAAACATATAAACGACTATATATTTCCTTTACAGATAGTTGGAGAGGATTCTAGAGCATTCTTTATTACTTCATTTCAAGGTATTAGACACTAATTTTTATAGATTATATTGTGAGAAATGATTATGAAACATTTGTAGCTTTTTTGCTACTATGGGACACAAAGAGCTAATGCGAACGGAATAAAAATATACTGGAGACCCGTCCTTACCAGAGAAATTTTGTTTGACTGCTCGTCCATTAATGTTTGTCCATTGATACCAATTAGGAATAGTTTTCCTCAGTATTATAAAAGATATAAAACTTTTCTATTTCATTTAAAGAAGATATTTTCTAAGGTTAATTAGAAGAATCTCGAAAGAAATAGTTTTCTTTGAATAAAAATCTTGTTGTGTTTGTTTTATAGATAAAATTAGAAATTAGAAATTAAAATAAATAAAAGTAGCATACTTTACTGATTACTTATTGATGAACATTCATATAGAATAGATCGTTAGTATAATTTTTTTATCATTGATTAAATTATTTAATGTTAAACCAATTAAATGAATTTATCTATTTTCTGATCGAATAAATATTTTATTTATTTATCATTATTTATTGATAATGCTCTTGGAATATAATTATCATATAGAATATCAATATCACGTTATTATGTTAAATATTTTAATATTTATTAAGAGAATATCAAAATAAATTAGAAGTTTTTCTAACTATCATTATTTGATATTCTTTTATTTTATTATCATTAGTTGATATATATAAGTTAATTTATTATCTGAACATATTAATATATAATCTATAGTAAAATCTTGACATTTATATAAATTCCATTGTATAATAAGTTTATCAAAAGTAACACTTATTATAAATGAATCATCATAAGATCAACGAATTAGTCGAAACTATTATTTATTTACAAAAGAAAATAAAAAATAAAAATATTTATTAGAAAAATAAAACTAAAAGTAATCTTACTTTTTCATTAATACCTATATATGTAAATTTATTTTAATAATTATGATCATGAAATTGAATATTATAATAATATGATATTGATAATAAATGTCCTTAATTACTATATTCAATCTTGTATGGAAATACATTAATTAATATACTTCCTTCTTTATTTCTATATTCCTATATATATATATATGTAATTAAATTAAATCTATCAAACTCCAAAAATACTTGCCACAATAAAAATAAAATTCGTCTCTCACCTATTTAAACCATCTTAGATCTAGACTCTACTAGAAAGAACCTTATTCTACCTTTCTAAACAAATTGATTTTTCTTGGATAATTCAAATAAAATAGTAGATCATCATTCGTTCTATAATTATATTTATTGAAAAAAAATTTTCAAGATTTATATTATAGAATATATTCTCATCTTTTCGATTAGTTTCACAAATGACTTCGATGAAAAAAAAACATCTTCGAGGAAGACTATTAGCGTAAAAATTCCGAAAGAAAAGTATTGAAGAGACTTGAAAAGGATACAGATGCCTTTTAGTAAGAACATATTTTTCATTAACATATATATATTATTTAAATCAGTTGTAGATGTTCAAATTGATTTTCATCTTGAAGGTATATTTTTATGAAAATGGTCGAAATCATGTCTTAAATTGAGAGGATAGATGCTTTCAAAACATTGTCCAATAAGGAAATTTTCTAAAGGAAACATAAAAGACTTATTTCCAGAGTATTATTAATGAATTTTTTTATTTCCGAGAAAAGACGAGCGGATTTTTGTCGAATATATATATATGTTACTGTTAGTTGATTGTGAACGATAGATTTTTCATATTAAAAGAAGAAACAGTTTGTAAAATGTCAATATGAATTTGTTTCGAATGAATAAAAGCATATTTAATCAGACTATTCAATATAAAATATATATTTATGGATAGAATACATTTGATTATTGATGGAGAATAAATATTAATTTTCGAAAAAAGACATGATATAAATGATTTGAAATAGATAAAACTAATAAAGTGTCGTCATAAGGAATTAATACTAATGATAGAATAATATGATTTTATATTGATTTCTGATATATATGATGAATCTATTGATAAATCATTTCGAATTGATTCCTTTTTTTTAAATAATTTCATTGAAAAATTTCTTTTTAAAATTTTTTTATCAATTAAATTATTTTTTATTTTTCTTTTTATATAAAAATCGTGAATAGAATTGTATGAAGATAATATTAATCGACTTATCATTTTCTATAATTAATTCAAATAATTATTTTCAAATAAAATTACACTATTGATAGAAAACACTCTACTTGAAAGAGGTAATAAACAAATAATATTATTTCAATAAATAAATTCTTTTGTCAAATTAAAATTTTCTCAACTTTTATTTGAATATCTAAAAGAAGTTCTCTGTTTTTCTCCAATCTTCAATCGATGATGATGATGAAATTGTTCGATTTAATTTAAATGATAAGATTGATTTTATTTTTGATAAAACTTTTTTATTTATTAGATTTATATTTGATTTTATTCAAAATATTCAATTGACTCATTGAAGATATATTTAATTGATCAATATTATTTATCTTGTTTGATTGATTTCCTTTTATTCTGTTCAAATAAATATTTTCTTAATTAATTAATTAATTAAATAAATAAAACAAAACAAAACATAAAAAGTATATTTTTCAATTATATGTTCATGATTGTTAACAGTACATATATAACCAATATTTATTTCTAAATAAAACATAATTTTCATTAATAAAATAATGACATGTTATATTAATTGATTGACGTTTTTGATATTGTCCATGAGCATAAACAGTTAAATGATCATTATTTAAATGGTATCTTCTATATATATATATATATATGGGAGTGATCAACTGACAGGATGTCTCGTTTTGATACAGCCCTATTGTAAGGATAAAATGAGCTGATAACTTTTCTCTACTATTGTAAGGATAAAACATGGTGTTGTTCGAGCCAATCCAGGGTTATATAGGATCCTCTCTTATATGGCCCGGACAATAGTGGGTTTTATCCTTACAATAGGACTGTATCAAAACGGGACATCCTGTCAGTTGGTCACTCCCATTTATATATGTATCACGTTTAATTTACCATAAAGAAACACTTTAGCGAGAAGAAACGGAACGAAAGAATACACGTACATATCTACTAATCTCTACTCCAGACCCTATTTTTCATCTTTCACTTCTACTTACTAACGTCAAAATACATGAAGGATTTATGCTGAGATATTTATATTTCTCCGGGCGAAGATCCATTTCTACTAGAATTTCTCCTTATAGTGAAAAAATAACTTCATTCTTTTCTGCTGATACGGTAAGAATAATCTGATCAATTTCTGCTTGTATTTTATGCATTTCTCCTGGTAAGAATAGAAATGGATTATGGGTTTCTGCTGGAGGAAATCCATGTCTACTAGAATTTCTCGTTGTAGTAAAAAAATAATTTTATCCATTTCTTCTTTTAATGTAAGAATAATTTGGTCGATTTCTCCTGATAACTTTTACATTTCTCCTTGTGGAAATAGATGTGGTTGATGGGTTTCCAATCGAGAACATTTAGTAGTAGATTATATTTCGCTATGAAAGGCGTCTCTACTTGACTTTGTGTGGGGTAAAGGATTTCTGCTCTATGATCCTTGTGATTTCAAACCGAGTTTTGTAAAAAAAAAAAACAGCATCCCTTTCCACAAAAATGCGGGTTTTGCGGATCTTTAGAATTTTGATGATGATATCTGTAGTACATACCCCATTTTTTTTTATAGAGAGTGGGTCTTGCGAGTCTTTAGAATTTCCATTATGATATCATAATGAAAATTCTAAAGATCCGCAAGACCCACTCTCTATAAAAATACGGGTATATAGTATACATATTATAATGAAAATTCTAAAGACCTGCAAGACCTGCACTCTATAAAAATAGGGGTATATGCTATGGATATCATCATAATTCTAAAGATCCGCATATCCCGCATTTCAAACTGAAATCGAGTGTCGTTGTTTTCTTCTAAATTCAGGTTGAAATGAAAAGAACTATATTATGCACTTTCTCCCCATAGTGGGAGAGTCTTCAGAAAAAAAAAGTTATTTGTTATTATTTTGTCATTTATAACAAATAACAAAAAACGTTATTGTTATTAATAACAATAATAAAAAAAAGTTATTGTTATCAATGACAAAAAAACAAAAATGTTATTGTTATTGATAGCAATAACTTTTTTGTTATTGTTGTTGTTATTAATAACGATCGAATAACAATAACTTTTTTGTTATTGTTGTTGTTATTAATAACAACCGAATAACAATAACTTCTCACTCCTACTTTATCATGAGTGTCTCAAAAACCAATGTCTTCCAAAAAATTTTTCAAAAACTCTCCAAGCTCCGATCAAGTTTTTTTTTCGACTACCGATTTTCTTCCCGTGATCTTGGTTTTCAGGCACAATAAACCGCTTGTCGCTATCTGCTTGCGTTCTTGAGCTATTTAATGTGCACCGACCAAACATTTTTTTTTGAAATGAATAATAGTACCTATTCGAGAAACTTGGCCGTATATTGTCAACGGGCAAATTAGCACTAATTGGAA